GAGCTCATGCTCTTAACCAACTTTGACAATCGGTCAGCCTCCTCATTACTTTTAAGACCCTTCTACAGTTTGAATTGGACAAATGCTTTATTCTTTTTTTTTTTTTTAAACTGGGGAACAGTGTTTTCCCAGGACCCATCAGCTCCAAGTCAGTAGTTGTTTCAAACTAGTTGTGGAGGGCACAGCTCACAGTGGCCCATGCAGGGATTGAACCAGCAACCTTGATGTTATGAGCACAGTGCTCTAACCAGCTGAGCTAACCAGCTGCCCCTGCTTTATTCTTAAGTAGGGCAAATTAGCAGGATAAACAGTGAGGAGGTGCTGGGAATGGGAAGTGTATTTTTAAAATGGTTTGGAGCTTCCATTTAGCTGCATTAAATCATGATTCCGCTATTTGTTAGGACATGGATTGCAACCATGGGCCTCCCCTCTAACAGTTTAAAAAAAACAAACTTTTTTTCATTTTAACATATCTTAAAATTCAACTCTGATTAAACTCTGCTTCCTCACTCTCCCTTCTTCCTCCCATTTGCCTGGATTCGTGTGATTTTTACTGGGAAGCTTAGAAACACTCTAAATTCTCCATCAATTGAAATTATTTCTATTTTAATTAATTTGTTAAAGTAAGTTTACGAGCACTTCAGAGAACAAAGTATAGGCTTTGTTTCAAAGAATTTAAGTAAATCTGTATTTTCCCAATAACTGTTCTATGCACTAGGAGAGTAAAGAGGAAACTAAACAAGGTAAACTCATGAGAACTAGGATGGGGTGTTGGTGCTGGAGTATGTTTAGCCCCCTAGAAGTCTCACAAGCATGAAGGACAGAGGGGGGCACACAGTTCAAAATGTGTTGATTTGGAGTACCCAGGAAAACTAATTTTCTTCAAGTTCTCCCAGAATTTGAAGAAATTTCCAGTATTAAAATCCATTTCTTGATTATCAGGAATTTTTTTTATTACAAATAGCATCAGGAACTCATGGAAAGAAAATTAAAGTTATATAAGTAGTTAAACTTTATTCATTAGTCATGTTCTAATACTAACCTGTAGTCCTAATATTATAGTCCTTAAGAATTAGGAATAAGAATTTCGTAGTTTACTTCCTTGAGGGCAGGGGAGCGTCAGCAACTATGGAGTGTGTAAGAGCAGGGAACACCAATACAGGTACAGTGACAGAAACCGTAATTACAGATTTGCATTTGGGGCTCTCAAGCAAAGTTCCTTACATGGTCCTGTTTCTAACAATTCTATTTTTCTGCTGCCCTTAATCACCCTCCCTGTAGAAATCAACTCGTTTTCTTAAATTTCCCATAAAAGTTTTAGAACTACCGTTGTTTCCCTGAAAATAAGACCTAGCCAGAGAATAAGCTGTAGCATGATTCCTCCAGGATACGGAGGGCACGCACCCCTCACATGAGGGTTTTATCACCTGTTTCAGGGAGGAGGGTGCCTTTTCCACAAATTCCTTCAGCTTAAAATAGTCAGTATGCCAAGGTGCCATATTTTGGCACCTAAAATTATGCGAGGGCTGATTTTCCGGCTAGGTCTTATTTTGGGGGAAACAGGGTAAGTCTCATCTGTGGTTAAAAAGTTTAATCCGCTTGCCCCTCAGTAAAGTTGGCAAATATTCTAAATAGAAATATTGCCAAAATTCCGTCATTTTCTTATTAAAAATTGTTTTTGGTATGTGTGTCAGACCTAACCATGGCATGGGCATGATTCCTACATTACGGGACATCTTTTTTTTTTTTTTTAAGATTTTATTGGGGAATTGGGGGAGGGGGACAGACAGGTAGACAAATTGCTGGGGTTTTTATTGTTCTTCAGTCTAGTTGTGGAGGACGTTGCTTCACTGGCCCATGTTGGTATAATCATTGTGCTCCTCCCAAGTGAGGCAATCGGTTGCTGGTCATTGGCTGGCCGCTCACTGCGGCTCACAGCAGCTCTTTGGCTGCCAGCTGCTCACTCTGCCAGCCACTCATGTAGCTCATGGCAACCCACTGCAGCCTTGCTGCAGCCTACGCCATCGCAGGCGACTCACAGCAGCCCAGCTCCAGGTCAAGCTGTTCATCATCTTAGCTGTAGAGGGTGCAGCATCACTGGCCCTTAATGTGGGATCCAAACTGCGGCCATGCTGCTCAGAGCTGGATCTCCCAAGCCAACCCTTAACCAACTGAGCTACTTGGCTGGCCCAAGGGACATCTTGACTGACTTGCTTCATAGTGACTCCAATTACCAAATCTAGTCCTCTATATTTCAAGCATAACAGAACCATACATATCCAGTTGCTTAAGACCACCAGAAATTTAAGTATGTGAAAATCTATTTGGGCTAAATATGGGGTGGCCATATAACTTATCTAAGAACTGAGACTTTTTTAAAGTGAAAGGGGGCATTAAAACAGGTGTTAATTGATCTTAAAACAACTGTCCCCAGCAAACCAATAGTCACTGCTGACTTCTCAAGAGGGCTCTCCTCATAATCACAACTTAATCTTCGAAAGTTCTACACTTTTTTTTTTTTTTAGATTCCAGGCAAATCTGGGAACCTTTTTTTTTTTTAGCTGAGCCATTCTGCCACCTGTTGGCAGCTCAGCTCGGGCCAGGAATCAAACAGTGACCCTGTTGCTCAGAGCTCGCACTCTTGAGCTCTTAACCAACTGAGCCACTCGGCCGGCCCAGTTCTACACTCTTTATATGGTATTTTACACCCCAGCCTGCAGAGATCTCTCGCAAACCTTGTACTGTTCTCTCCCCACCATTGTGGTCTTCTGGGTTTCTAGTTTCTCCTTTCCCATCACTCTAAATAATGCTGGGCCCAAGAGGTTTAGGTAAGGCAGTGATCCACACTGTGGACACCCACTGGACTCCATCAGCTTCCTCAGGTTAAGTGGACATAGAAAAAGAATTTAAAGAGTCATTTTATCCTTTGCAAACAATCAAGACCACAGAAATGACCATTTTTTTCTAAAACAAGACTTTCAAAATGGCAAATGAAATAGGGGCAACAATCATCTAATCTAGCTAAAATAAGCTTGTAAACCCAACAGTTTTGTACTAGATGAGTGTAGTCTGCAGGAACTAAGGCTATGTTTTGCTTTAACATTTGTTTTCAGAAAAATACCTGGTCAGCAGAATCTCTCAAAAATAGAGAAGCAATCATGGAATGAAGAAATACGCCATCTTTCTGTTTCTACTGATCTGTCACTTAAATTGGAGGGAACGGCTAAAAAATAAAGTTTTCATGCAGAATACATAAAATATGTAAATGAAAAATCCCTCTTTACACTATACTGTACACTTGAAACTAATATTGTGTCAACTGTTATATGTTATATATATAATATATATTATATATTTTTTTCACAGAATGTAAAGTACAGCTTAGGGAATACAGTCAATGGTTTGTAATAGCTATGTACAATGTCAGATGGGTAGTAGACTTGTTGGGGTTAACACTGTGAGGTATGTAAATGTTTTGTACATCTCAAAAGTAATAAAAAAAACAAAATTCCCTATTTAATACCCTATTTAAAACCAAAATTCCCTATTTAATAGGTTACCCTATTTAATTAAGGCAACCACTAGCTTCTATAGTGGTTGGATATAACTGGACAAAAAAGCTTCTAACTTTAGAATATGCCAGGAGAGACGGGTGAGCTATTTTTGCTAACACATAGGGTTGATTCTGTATCAGCATCTTGTAAAATATACCCATTAATTTCTCTCAGAAGGCATAGGTTTTATATATATATATAACATATATATATATTATATATATATGTTATATATATATATTATATATATATAACAAACCTCTGCTATGACCATGATTGCTTTTGTAAACTTCAGGTCAAATTCTGTCCCTTGAAAGGTTACTGTATATTAAACACGTATTTTAAGACAATAGCTTTAAGAGTTGTTAATCCTGGTTTCAAATAGCAGTATAAAGGAATTCTTTGAACTTAATTTTTGTAACCAAGTACCCTTTACTAATATGACATAGATGCATATTCCTTCAGTCATTTAGTATTTATTCAATGTCTACTAGGTGCAAGTCACTCACTCATGGCCTGACAGAGTACATTCAAGTACAAAGAATCATTAGAGCCATTCCAAATCAAAGTGTTAATTAAGAACACTTTGAAAAAGGATATCGGGTGGTCAAAATGACGAGGTATGCAAAACATCCTCAGCAACATACATTAGGTGACCTTTTTAAACTTTTGACACTCCTTGGGATGACACTCCTTTAGGAAGTCAACTGTGTTAAATTTACATCCATGGATGGCACTGCTTTCTAAGGCAGTATTCTTTATTCCAAAGCCTTTCCTTCTGTGTCAGTACCTTCTACATTTGAGTTTGTTGAATGGAAACATGTTTCTGAGTTTTAGTCATTATGCTACCAAACTCAAAAGTTAATCATTTGCATATTATTTTCTAACTTCTGTTGTTTGGTCATATGGAGTTTTAGCACCACAGAAGGGGAAAGATGTTTGGGTTGAGAGGGTCTACACACCAGAATATGTATCCTGATTTGGTCACTATTTTTTTTTTCAAGGTGCTGATGATGAGGGAGTCAGAAAGAATGGTCCAACAGAACCGAGCTGGCCCAGCTATGGCTGCTGTAAGTCTAGTTCTGGGAGTTTCTGGCACAGAAACTCCACCATGACTTCTGGTTTCAAGACAAAACCTGTAGGATTCTTCCCCACCTTTCCACAGACAACAAAGGTTGTGACCTGGGGCAAAGTAAATTCTCCTGTCTTGATTTTGTCACTTGTAACATAGTGACAATTATCTACCTCAAAAAGCAATTGGAGGATTAAATGAGGAAAAGTGAAAGCCCTTTGTCAGGCACTTGGCACACAACAGAGGCTCAAATAAAGACAAGTTACCTGTGGGGGCTGGCCTGGCCCAGTGACTCAGTTGGTTAAGAGGTCACTCAAACAGTGCCAGCTCTGAGCAACAGTTCGATGCCTGGCCTGAGCTGAGCTGCCAACAGGTGGCAGGATGGCTCAGCTAAAAAAAATAATAATAATACAAAAGACAAGTTACCTTTATTTGACCTATAGGAAAACACACTGGGACTTGTCTCCCCTTAGTTGAAAACAGAATGGAATTTCATCTGCCAATGCTTTCTTCTTACTCCACACTTCCAGATACATTTTATGTCCAGTAGCAATTTGATGTTTTTAAAATTAGCATGTTGTTTCATTTTAGCATACATTCCTGATGCCCTGTTACCTATTGTTATTACCTATCCTTTTCTGACAATAAAGCATGTTATAGAATATTCTCCATGTGACAGCAGACTTACTGTACTAGTGCCACATCTAGCATTCAATTACTTTTTTTATATGTATAACTTTAACTTTTGATGACAGGAAAAGGTAGCCCCAAATATTTCCCAACTGGGTAGATAATATAATTTATTCTGCTCATCTCACAACAGAAGAAAATGGCTGTTAATTTTAGGTGGCAAAATAATTCAGATTTGAGACACCCATGTGTAGGCACACCTATCTCTGCGAATGAGCAAATTTTGGAATGTAGGAGGTAGCATTAGCATATAAATATGAAAAGCAAACAATGCCCCTTTCCAAAACTGGATCCCTTTTCTTTACTGAACATCATACTTAGACATCACAATTTTCTAACACATAGAAGGAAAGCCCTAAGCCCTAAAATAATTATGACTTATCTGTTGATATAAAAATGTTCACAACACTAACCAGCAAGAAAAGAAAAATCCTTCAACCTGAGGAAAACCCTTTCATAATGCAACCCCAAATTGGGGGATAAAATAACTGAAATGTTTATTTAACACTAGAGAAGTAAATTCAAAGTTGCCTGCAGGTGGCCATGTACAACAGGATTTAGTTGACAAAGTTTGGTTTTATAAAATATACTACATACTTTTTCTTAGGCAAAATCATCAACAATCTGGAATAATTCAGATTTATTATGGGATAATTGTCAATGTTTGTATCTGTGACAAAATGATGAAAACAACTCAGAGCCCATTCACTTTTATCTGGGAGATGGAAGAAACAATCCTCAGGGAAGTGCGTGTTCAAAAACAATACAACTGACAACGGTAAGTTTAAAAGGGTCCTAATTACTTAGCAACAAGAATATGAATTAACATGTTCCATGGAAAACTGTCTCCTAAATCTCACCATTCTTTATGTCTATCATTTTTACCTTTCCCAGTATTTCCCAATCTAACCATATCTCCGTGGTCCTTCAGATACAAGGTGCCTTTACATCTCAAATCTACTCAATGCTTTTTTCCCCCCACTGAAGTTCTCATTACAAAGAATATACTTTGAAAGTTTGGAGGAGAAAAAGGAAGGGGAGGGAATCAACCACTTTCCCTCTCATCAGTATACAAAACTGCAGAGTTTTCCTGTGTTGAAATTAACATGATTTTGTAATGAATAACATCTTAGGGTATTCAATAAATTGAAAGTAAATTAATATACTCTGCCAGGCAGAGAGCTAAAATTAGAACTTACAGTGACCTCCTAAAATGTGATTTCTATTACCAAAAAAGGCTGCTTTATCAGTTCCAACAATTATGTTGGGATTTAACTTTTAGTCAATTCCAATTTTTATATTAAAAAAACCATTTTATTCTAAAAAACAAAAATTAGCTCATATCTAGTGGCTCATGAACTTCTAGGACAGGACCAAGATAAATTCCTGTTTCAAACAGAAAATAGACCACATCAGTTGAACGGACTTTAATTCATTCATTGACACACCTGCAATTGCTAGCAAAAATTCCCAATGTACGCTATTCTTACTAGGGGAAATGACTTTGTGTGCTTTATATTTTTTCCATTCAAATTGGTTTATCAAAATGAACTGAAAGTTTTTAAAATTACCCAATAGAAGGTACATAATTTAAAACACCCTAGAGAAACAATGTTACCAGTAATTTATAATTTTACAAACTCAGCCACAAAAAAAAGTCAAAGCTAAAAACAAGATTTTTACTATGAATCAGTGCTTCTATTACCCTTCTGAAAGAAGTTATATTTTAATGTGATGTAAAGGCAACATTGAAAGTTTTTCTTTAAATTAACCACCTAACTTGTCCCTAAAATTACAAAGAATCAAAGTCTTTTACAGGTCAAGTGCAGTAAACTAAAATGTTCTTTCAGCACAAAGCAGCACTAGAAAAAGTAACAGTTATAGATGGGAGGTGACTAGTTTTGCAGTGGCTGCTCCATCAATGACAGACAAACATCAGACGGTATCCATCCAGAGCACAGACACAACTACAGGCTAGATGCGAAGACTGCGTCACAGGCTTGGCTGATAAATGTCCTTTGCCTTTGTATCTTTCTACTTTAAGTGAAGTGGATTTTTTAAAGTTTAAATCGGGTCACATAAGTTGACTGCTTAAATGACATGATGAGGTATGAAAGCTCTGAATATCCCTAACGTTCAGCAGGATTTACCAGAGATGTAGAATAGCTTGTCAGGGGAACTTCCAAATAGTTACACTTTGGGATTCTAGTGAATTCTAGGAAGAGGACAAGATTAAAGTAGGTTTAAAGGGTATTCTCTGAAACAGAAGCAAGCAACTTTTCCTTCAGAATTCATTTTGAGTAGCACATCCACAAATATAAATCTTCTCTGATAGCGCGTCCCAACACTGAGTCAAGATGGCCAACTAGCACCAAGAAGTCGTGTGTTCAGTTGCAGTTCTCTTGGCTATTAAGCTTATTTTTTCTTTCCAGTCCAAGCACAATGTGGATCACTGAAGACAGTACTGGAAGCGCCATTTGCAGGTACAGACTGCAGTCATCATTAAATGATCCAGAAGGTAGAAACTGCTGTTATTGGGAGGGTGGGGGGTGGGGTGAGGGGTGGGGAGCACTTGACTGGGCAATACTAGTAGGAGATGAAATGATTAGGGAACAATGAGGTTATAAGAAAAATATCACTGCCCTTATTTGGGTTAAACAGGTCATGTTGAGAAGATGGTTATTTAAGATAAGGGTGCTACATTAATCATATATGCAGCATGAATACATTAGAATCAAGCTGCACCCAATTAAGAAAAAGAAAAATTCCCTAAGTAACCTTTAAAAGTATGTTACCTGCCAGTCACAGAAGGGAAAAGCACCTGGGGTGAACTCCAATTTAATGAGGACCTTGATCAGGACCACAAAGCCTGAAACACATTTGTTTTAATGCAGAAACACAGCCTCTAGTCACACTGGTTAAGTCTGGGGAAAATTGGAGGGGTTTTTTTTGGTTTTTTTTTTACATTTTTGTTTCAATAACTAAGGATTCTAAATCTTCAACCAGCATTAGAATTGAACCACTTCCAAATCCTAAGACACGTAAGACCAAAGAGAAGCAATAGCCATACAAATTAATATGTGGCCCTCTCCTTACTGCTCTAAGGGAATTTTCAAACCAGTATCACATTTAGGAATCAAAGTGTTAATTCTTCAGCATTCCTGACAATTAAAAGCACATTCACTGAAGGCTGAAGGTGAGGAACCGGATGGTTTAACTTTAATATCTGTGAAGAATGGCTCCAATAGAGGAAAGAAAACCATCCAATCTCAGTAAGGATTAATGCAAATTTGGCTAGAAAAAGCCACCAGGTATTCCAAGGGTTCACTGTGGAAGAACTCATGAAAAGTACTCTGAAGTGTACACAACAGGTCTAAACATCTCCCTTGTTGCAAGTAGTTGTGTGAAATTCAAGATAAAGGTTTAGTCTCATCTTTTAATGTCAATATGTTTTCCCACTTTAAAGGGAATGAGGAGGAGTCCTCTTTTTCCCCCCACAAAAAAAGGGAGCCACATTAATATGTGTATGTTCCCATGACTCTTATAAGATAGAAGTGCAGACCTCCAAAGCCTAGGGATTTTCCTTAAGAGAGTGGGCCGTTCTGGTTACCCTTTTCTTAGAAGGGTATTTCACCACAGAGAGCCAGAGGTTTTCCAGATGTGTGAGAGAGCAGGTGCGCAAGGCAAGCAAATGAGCGCAAACAGTATTATGGAAAACGTTTGAGAAGTTAGCTCCATGAGGACTGTGGGCTCCACAGGAGGACTTGACTGGGCAGCCTGGTCTTCTGACACAGGAACATGAGAGCAGAGTGCTGCTTCAAAGCTGGAAGCCTTCCATAGGCGCCTCACACTGCTGGAAGATGTACTGCTGCTGGCTAAGATCAACCTGTGGGGCAATGCTGCTGTCCTCATCCTCGGTCCCGAAGTAATGCTCAATAAGATCAAAAGCCTTCTGGTAGATCTCCTGGTTTTCGTGACTCTGCAAGAACTCAATTTTATCCAGACCTGGAACAAAGAATAAAGAAAAATCTCTTGTTTAAATGTAGGCAATTCCAATGAAACACTGTTTTGCCATATGTCTCCTTCCCTGAGGTGAAGGAAGACTTACTTGTATCTCATATGTATTTTGTTAACAGCATAGAAAGTATTGCTGGGAATTACATCTGAATGCTAGTATTACGAACTGACCATCTTAAACACATACGCAAGTAACAGCCAAATCCCAGAAGCACCAATCTCCACCACAGCTCTGTCATCCAGTACCCAGGGCCAGTAGAAGTATTCCTACTGGACTGTACCCATGGCCTAATTAATTCTTGGCTCTGCTTCGATCTTCCTAGGCTCTGAGCTATCCAATATCATTTCAACAAATGTGTAAATACCCTTATATCAGTCAGAATCAATTTCTATTGATTAAACTAAGAAGTCTGACTAGAGCTTTTAGCCAACACATTCCTTTTATTAAGTTCAAGCCCAGCTGAACTAGGTTTTCTTTCACTTGTAGCCATAGGAATCTAACAGCATAGCAACACCAGAAATAAATATTAACATTGCTCAAAGGAAAAAATACGTATTTCATATCCATATCCATATCTATATATAAATATATATGGATATGGATATGAAATACATAAATATACAAAAAATTAACAATAGTTATCTCTGGAGAAAGATCTCTGGGTAGTAGAGGAACATTTTCTTTTTTAAACATTTCAAAATTCCTTACACTAAGCAGGTATAACTTTTATAATCAGGTTTTTTTAAAAAAATGGTAAATTGTTAAAATCATTTTGGAAAACAATTCTGCATTAGCTGATAAATTTGAACATGAACGTACCCCATGCCCCTAGTTCCAATCTCAGGAATAAATAAACCCTAGAACAGTGGGTTTCAACCCTGGCTATGCATTAAAATCATTTAGGGAATTTAAAAGGTTACAGTATATTGGCAAACCAATGATTAATACGATTAAGACTGAGATCAGAAGAATGAGGAAACCAAAAAGCAGATAGTGACTCTTCAGGATGAAACTTAGAAATCTTTTAAGTCAGCAACACTTTAGGAGCTGTGGGATGCAATTCAAAATCAGAACTTGCAATCTTATGAGAGAAAAGGAGTCAGGCATCATCGACAGTGGATATGAATGTTCTTGAGGTTCAGATGGACTATTAAGAATACAAGAGTACCCACAAGGACAAGCAGAGTCAAGGAACTGGAAGATCCTAAAAGCCCAGTATAAAAATGGGCTAAATGGAAGGGTTCTTGCTTCTCTTCACAACTACAATGCATATTCTTTTCCAATTCTGCTTACTAAACATTATCATTCATAAGAGTATACATTTTTCGTATGTATTTGTGAATGACACATGTGGCAGGCCAGCAAAGCAAGGAGAAAAAGAAAATAATAATTTCAGGACATCTATTTAATACTCTATCTTACCGTAAGCTTCTTCAATCAAAGCACAATAAGGATTAATGCCAGTGCCGTTTCTTTTGGCTTCTTGTTCTCCAAGCCTCAGGATATTTTCCAAGCCATTTAGGGCAACCTGTACAATCTTAGAGTCCATAACTGTGAGCAGATCACAGAGTGGCTTGATACAACCCAGTTCTACGAGGTACCTAAATTAATAAAAAGAACAATTTAGTCAAAGATTTTAATTTCATAAACCTTTTATTAAGTTGGTGAAAGAGTCATCCTCAAATGGACTGCCGAGATAAAAACAGGCACACATTCAACCATACAAGCTACACCTTATCACAAAGAAATCTACAAATGAATTAAAACCAGTTCTCTATCAGCCAGTTCCATTTTTTTCCTCCACAACTAATGGACTACAAGAAACTGGAATACTCTCTTATTTTGAATATGAGCAACTCATTAAAACAGAATAATTTTAATTTCATCTTTGTTCTTATATATAACCACACCTCAGAAACATCACACCTGGTGCTAAAGGTAGCACAACAGGCCCAACAGGCCCATTCAATTTTGCACAAAGAACTCGTAAATACTGAAGATAAAAAAATCAACTCAATGTAAAAATGGGCAAATGATCTGAACATACACCTTAGCAAAGATATAATAACAGCAAATAAGCATATGAAAAGATGCTCAACATCAGATGTTATCATTCAAACCATGATGATAGTATAAACCTATTACAATTGTTAAAATCCAAAACACAAACAATACCAAATGCTGACAAGGATGAGGAGCAACAGAAACTCTCATCTTTTGCTGGTGGGAATGAAAATAGGACAAACTACTTTGGAAGACAGTTTGGCAGTTTTTTTTGTTTTTGTTTTAAAGATTTTATTTTTTTTGGAGAATTGGGAGATGGGAATAGCGCTGGGGAATTGGGGGAAGGGGAACAGACAAGTTGCTGTCCTTTTGTTCTTCAGTCTAGTTGTGGAGGACGTTGCTTCACTGGCCCAAGTTGGCACCATCATTGCGCTCTTCCCGGGCGAGGCAGATCAGTCGCCAGCTTCTGGACAGCCGTTCATGACAGCTGCTGGCCACTCACGCTGGCTGCTGGCTATACATGGTAGCCCATGGCAACCCACTGCAGCAGGGGCTGCAGCCTACGCCTTCGCCGGCGACTCACGGCAGCCCAGCTCCAGGTTGAGCTGTTGTTCAGCATCTTAGCTGTAGAGGGCAGTGCCACTGACCCTCATGTGGGATCCAAACCAGGGCCCTCTGGCATCCCAAGCCAGCTCTTAACCAATGCGCCACTCGGCTGGCCCAGCTTGGCAGTTTTTTTACAAAGCTTTCTATACGATCCAGCAATTATTCTCCTAGACATTTACCCAACTGAGATGAAAACATGTCCACACAAAAACCAATATTTACACCAACTTTATTCATAACTGTCAAAAACTGGAAGCAACCGAGATGTTCTTTAGTATGTGAATGGATAAACAGTAGTACATCTAGACAATGGAATATTATTCAGCAATAAAAAGAAATGAGCAACCAAGTCATGAAAACACATGAAGGAACCTTGAATGCATATTGCTAAATGAAAGAAGCCATTCTCACAAAAGTCCATACTATATGATCCAAATATATGTCATTCTGGAAAAGGCAAAACTTTTATAAAGACAATAGAAGAGTGGTTGACAGATTTGAGGGGTGGGGGTAAGGGAACAGTGGTGAATAAGTGAAGTATAGGGGATTTTTAGGGCAGTGGAAATATTGTGTATGATAATGGTGAAAACATGATACCATACATTCATCAAAACCTACAGATCTGTGCAACACAAAGAGTGATCCCTAATATAAACTATGGACTTTTGTTAATAATGTATAAGTATTGGATCATTAGCTCTAACAAATGTCACCACATTAATGTGAGATGTTTGTTAACAGAGGAAACTGTGCAGGTGAGGGAAGTATACAGGAATTCTATACTATCATCTCAATTTTTCTATCATCTAAAAATATTCTTTAAAAAGTCTTAATTTCCTTTTCAAAAAGGTAGTTTTTATGTCTTATTTAGCATTATATACTCAGGGGTGAATTTTATAATATTGTGCTTAATTTTATTTAAATATTTCCTGACAATTAAGACTACTTCTGTCCTATGAACAGAATAGGTCTGTCATGTAGGCTTAAAGCCATTTCTGACCATTTCCCTTTCCTTTACAGCACAGTTTTAGTTGTCAAAACCTGTCAAGCATTCCTTCAACATATCTATATAATTCTCATTATTTTTCTTAAAAAACAAAACCAGGACTCTTTTAGGATTATAAATGTTAGTTGTTGCAAATTTAGAAAGCACAGCAAAGCATTCGGAAAACTAAAAGGTACCCAGAGATAACCTCCACTATTACATCCCAGCTGTGCTACATATAAGATGGTTGACTTTGGTCAAATTATTTGATCTCTCTGAGCTTCAGTTTCCTCAACTGAAAAAGTCTGGGAGCCACAGATTTATTAATAAGTCTGTCACTAAACATCAGCAAAATTTCATTTTAGTTAATGGATGGCTTACACAACTGCACTTAAACTTCAGTGGCTTATGTAGGTGCGTCTATTGAACACCAATTGGTATTTCAGAGACTACTTGTTCAGAATCTCCAAATTGTCCTCAAATTTGATTCTGGTCTGCTCTTGATGTCATCTTTTCTCCCCACTATGAATTTTGGCTGACCTCTGATCCTTATGCTGCCTTTAAAAAGTTCATTTAGTTTTGCAACATTGTCTAGTTGTAGAAATATTATGAAAAGCAGTGTACTGAAAACAACTGAGGATTAAAAACAGATTTTAAGGTTGTTAGAAAGCTTCTAGAACTTGTATATAAGTTAAATGAATAATTTAAATATGAACTATGAGATT